CACCGAAGTGAACAATGATTAAGTGACTTGAGAAGAAATGATATGAGACACACAGATGTTAAAAAGGAAAGTGCGTTTGAATTACGCACAGTCGACTTGGACTTAGTCATCCTTTAGTGCATCCATTGGTGTTCTGTAACATTGTCGTTTTTCTTTCAGTACTATCATCCTTCAATACTATCATCAGCAACAATGCTAATGTTCTTCAGCTCGCGTTTACTTCATTAATTCTCTAACTCAGCCAACATCATTTACCGAACAGTGTTGTCCGAGTGGATCAGTTCCAATTGTTGCCTGCTTGGTGGACTTGAAACGATAGTGAGAAAGAACAAAACACTGAGTAGATGAGATATGTAAGATGAACAGCGAAACTCGTCAGATGTTGAAAGGTAAATGCTTCGAGACTACGCATTGTCGATGCATACCTAGCCGCTCTTTCGTACGATGCTGATCTTCAGTCACAATATTGCTTTTCTCACCAGTGTCACTATACCCGAATGTTCTCACTCAAGTCCGCTATTTGACTTTAATCAATATTGACGCTTGAACTATAAACAAGAAATTATCATATAGAGAAGGTTGAAAGGATGATTGGAAAAATGTTGAAAACAAGAAATCAATGGATTGATTTATTTTATGATAACAGATGGATTGAAAGAAAGAAAAGCAAAAAAGAAGAGATAATCAAGATGACCTGTCAGTTCGTAATGTGAGATTGAAATTATAAACAAAGTTGGCTCGTCTTTCTGACAGAAAAGATAAATTCTATAGGATATAAGAGTGATATATGGGATAGATCATAAACATGTGATAATGAGAAAAGGATGGGACAACGAAGTAAATCAAGAACTAATGTTTTTTTTCTAAGAATTAGAAGTTTTTTTTTTGCAATATTGGTTAAAGAGAAGAGAAAAATGTAATCAGCCTATATGCGCAAGGACAACAAAGTTTGTGATCGCCCACTTCTTCCCAAGATATACGTTAATGACGTATCGTCATCAGCTAATCCTATCAAGCTTACTGACTATTCATATGACCATTATATTCTACAAATAGATAGATAAATCAAATTAACTAAAATACGACCAATATTCTAGTAAATTATGATAGAACACTGTAAAAAACCTCTTCAAGAGGTAAAAAAACAGCAGTAGCAAAAAATAAGTAGTTGAAGTTGGTGAAGTGTCTTAGGTAAAGAGAGACTGAGGATTCATAGAGCCCTATTGGTGATTGTTATATGTGACGGACAACGAGGTCCGTGAGTCTATTGACTCATGAAACAACACACAAACATGAGTATATTTAGTTACAGAGGAGAGAAAGAAAGTATGATAAAGCACAGCAGAGTACCAATTGGTGATGATAGTATCCATGTGATGATGGTTCCCGTTACACAAACATATCAATAAAAAAATTACCATTGTCGAAATACAAAATTTCCAATCAATTCTTAAGAAAACTGATTTCTCGTTTGATCTTATCGTTACTCAAATGCTAAATATTTTGAATATACTTGTTTTCATTTCTGAGATGCTTGGTTAAATAAAAATTTCTTCAAAATCAGTAGAAAAAAGGAGTATGATGATGTTATGAGCAATGAACTATTGACCATTATCTCCGTCTAATATATAAAAAGGCAAATAAGCAGTAATCTTTCATGTTATGTAATGCAGAAATATATTTCTATAAGATCTTAATATGCTCTAGATACTGCTTTGCTGAATAAATAATTACAACATGATCAAAATAAGAAATGGTGTTTTGAATACATTTAGATAGATAATAGGCTATTTAAATATTGTGTTGAGTGAAAGATTTTTTATATTCTATAATGCCATTCATAGATTATTCATTTATGATATTTTTCTTTCTTAAAAGATCAGAATTAGACAAGGAAAAATAGAAGAGAAACGTCATGAACTTATTTTCTTGTTGTTAACAATTTAATATAAGCTACATCCAACTGGTAACATATAATACTATACACATTGACACTTCAGTTCATTGAATTATACATTTAATTTGACGTTAACGAATAAGTTTGATGTGTTCTAGAAATAACTTGCCATACAAATTACTATTATTACTTTTCTTATTATTAATAATTTATTTTGTTGGTATCAGAAAAAATAATATATCTCATTTATTGATGTATATAGTTGTTTTCATTCTTCCATAAATCATCTCTTATCTTTTATTGCTTTATTTATAAACGTGAAAATAAATAAATGACAAGGATTTATCAAATATTGTTTCCGAAATCAAAGATCATATTGACATTCATGTGTGTGTATCTACATTGCTAAATTATAGTAAGAGAATGTATTCAAACACATAAGTTCTTTCATACTGATTATTAATTGAATAATTAGCGTAACCTTCACACAAGAGACGCCATATTGTTTTCAACTATACACAAAAAAAAAATATAAGATTAAAGTTTATAAATCTAATTCACTTTTTCGTATATGTTATAGTTCGTACTGAAAGAACATTTCCAAGAGTTTGATGATGATGAAAATAATCATCAAATAATAAATTTCATTGTCAATAAATCTTTTCTATTTATACGAATCGGTTAATCATTTAGAAAAAAAAGATCTCAAGCAATCTCTCATCGTTTTAGTCTAGGTGAAATCAACACGTTAATGAACAATATCAAACATTGAAATTTATTGATCTGTTGAATAAGATAAAATCTTTCCAAATCAATTTTCTGATGAACAAAAACATTTAACATATACAAAAATCTATCTCGCTTATTGAATATACTGAATCCCATTAGCATCCTCAAATATACAATGGTTTGCAAAAAAACTTGGAACAAACTGACAGTATAAATATTTTATATTTTCTAGATTCCCTTGAGCATTTATTTTACTGTTATTGTAGGTTTAGACTTACTAGACTATCTGCTAATAATATTTGTATATTTGATTAATTTCTATTTTGTCGCTCTTTATTTATAACCTGACATGGTAAAGGTAAACAGACTAAAAACACATTATATTTCTGTATTATATTATTGGAACATGAGAATTCGTTCTGTCAGAAAAATCCACTGAGATACGAAGATACCATTGTCTACAATTAGTTATCAGTTGAAAAAGCTCCGAACTCAAGATTTTCTACAACATCGAGCAAGCAAATGGTTGAAAATCGACAAAAATTTCATGTTTGAGATTCTACCAGTTATCATGGAACAGTTGGTTTTCATTCATTTCAAAATATTAGAGCAGTGATTATTACATCAAAATATAAGGAAACAACTCCATTTCCAATGCTAAACGACAATCTAATAATACATGTCGAGTTCAACAAGATAACGACCGCAAGCATCGATCTTCAACAACTAAAAGATGGTTGGTTGCTAATGTTCCACTTATTATAGACTGGCTATTGAATAGTCCGAATCTCAATTCGCTTGAAAATATGCGGACCATTATGAAACATTGGATTGAAAAAAGAAAAGCAATAAATGTTAATGAGGTGAAAATTTTTATCGATGAAGAATGGAAAAAAAATTGAAAAAACTGTTATAATCAATTTGATTAACAGCATGAAAAATAGATGTTCCTTAGTTACTGAGTAAAAGGGAAGACGAGTTAACTATTGAGCTGCATATTGTAAAACTGTATATTACTATGTATTAAATAAAGAAATATTTTTTTTGAAAGTAGTTGAAATAGGCGTCAATATAGACTAAAAATTTGTTCCAAGTTTTTTTGCAAACTATTGTATATATTAACAATGTTTCAGGTGATTTAAAAGTACAAATAAGATATTGTTGTGCAAAAAATTTTAACACAGATAATCAAATATATATTTGTGAACATCGTGATATGAAAAGTTTGCTTTGGAAAAAACTTGAATTATAATATTTTTCATTGAATATTCGAAGATTATCAATATCAGTTGGTTCAACACTTTATGACGATAAAGTTCTATGAATAGTTGATCCTTCTCATTTAAGTGGAAATAATCGAAAAGTATTTATTGTTCACCAAAAATAAATGGCCATTATATGAACATGTTGATACTCACCAATTCATTTTTTGAAAATAAAGACGTAGAAAAAACAAAATTGAATATAAATGATGAACGAAAACGTTCTTGTTTAGAATATTTCTATTAGAATGGTTATTATCTTGTACGTCTTCTAAGAATATGTGCTTTTTCTATATTTACTAATTCATCAAAGCAACACTAGTTTTTCTTATATAATTAATTAAAATTATCTATACAATCTTTCAGTATATCGTCTTTAAATAATAGTTACTCTTCTTTTAATATCTATTACTTCTCATTGAATTGTTAATTGATCTTTATATTAGGTAAATATTCCATTGTATCTTTATTTCTTCTTATTATTTTATATACATAACAAACAATTATTATTGTTATAGTATTTTATTAATATACATCAATTATCGATTGATACAAATAATTTTCGTGTATGAATTGATTAATATTTATTCTTTACACTTTTTTTTGTTTTGATTTCTATATTTTTATAGATTAGTGTACGATTATTTAGCTTTATCGAGTTCCATTTGAATATCAAAGACAAATAAAAAAGAAAAATATAGAATACGAACAGTGATTAAAATTACAGACAATGTTAATAAAAAAATAATGACCATTATTAATATATATATATATATATTCGATCAGCTTGAAAAGACACATAGGTAAGTTAAATTTAATTTAACAAATACAATGAGAAATTATGTTATTAGAGCTCAAATGGCATTGCGTTGCAATAGCAAAGTATAGTTTCTTCTTTTTTTTTTTTATTGAAAATGAGTTATAATTTTTGCAATTTTAATAAACTGATATAATAATACGTATATACTAAATTATCGTTATATTTTATGAAAAATACGAAACGCCAATGTCAAACTCTGAAAAAAAAGTATCTGTTGGGATCTATTTGTCTGTACAGTCTATTTATTTATTTCATGATTTGAATTAAAAGAAGAACAAATAAAACAAAATTATTATTTATGACGACATCGTATTTGTTTCTTGTTGCGTGTAACTGTTACAAGTGCACCCAAAAGTTGATATGATGACGGTAAAACTATTGTAACATTAGTAGTGCTATTCGATACTACAATACATCTTTGTCCATATCCAATTCTATCAATATTTATTGTAACATTATCATTAATACGAGTTGGATGAGAAACTGTAATAGAAAAATCAGTAGCAGTTTCATTAAATAAATAAGCATCAGCATCATTTAATCGTATATTTATTTGAAAAAATGAATTCTGACATGAAAATATTGTTGTAATATTATTCCATAATACAAATGATGCACTTGGGATTGTTGATCATGTCGTTCCATAAAAAAAAATCATTATTTGAAATACAAGAAAATACATAATCATTATTATAATGTTTTATTAATTCAGGTATAAATTCAACATGGATATTTGGTAAAATCATATAACTATAATTACGAGTATTGGGTCTTAATCCATGATCTAACTACACAGTTACTGTACGTCTAGTTAATGTATCATTATATGGTCCAATTGTATTATAAGATGTTGTTTTTGTACTTACTTCTGTTCCTAATGTTAAATAGAATCCTTATGTTTGTAAAAGATAACTAATATCACATTCACCAATATATATCCATTGAACATTTTCTGATTTGTTATTTTTGTATAAGGAAATGAATAACTAGTTCCATGAGAAAGTGTCTGATTCGCTTGATTAGCTGTATTTTCAAGTGAAATTGAAAATCCAATATCTCGAGAAAAGAATATCCTTTTTGACTAAAACTTTTAAGATATTCTATAGACCATTAGATCAATCTATGGGCAAATTTTCAGGTCGAAGTCCCGTAATTCCATATTCCAGCAAATACCTAGGAAAGGTCGAAAATACCTAAATATTTCGGAGTTTATAAAATGGACATTGGACTACAATATGACCAAATTGAGATTGAAAATACAACTAATCAAGCGAATCAGACAGTGATTTTCCAAAAAATCCCTGAAACCTCGTAGTAAACTTTTAAAATATTTTGATTCTTAGATAAGCTTGTATTCTCACTCATGCTCTTTCTAACAGCGAAAACTCGAGATCGATAGTTATCAGTGTTACCGAGTTATTCAACAAACAACCAAATCCATTCTTTTTTTTTGAATGAATAGTAGTTGATGTACTTCATACAATGTCTTTATTTATTCATTCTTACCATAAAAGAAAAGAATGTAAATATTAAAATTATTTGTTCTTGAAATTATTTGCGAAGACAAATCAAAAAATAAAAAGAATTGAGAGTCTATCTGTTTTTTGTTTGTTGAAGTTTTAGGTGTTCAGTATTGAGATTATACTATGAATTAAATAATATCGGATACGAAATCTGAAGAAAATTTCTTAAAATTGAGCGTATATGCAATTTTAGAATTTCAATCACTTTGACTTAAGTTTATAACATACGAGCAGAGGTTCCCAACTGATCCACGCCACTTTCAGTGATATTTTGTCCATATGTTGGGGACATTATTCTAAGAAAAATTGTAAGAGAGTTTTAAGTTCACAGAACTTTCTTCTAAATTTTCAAGCATTTTACTGAATTTTTTTTCACCTAACACAAGGTATATACGAAATTTCAATCTGATCTATCGCTCATATGTATTTCTCGTAATCATTGAAACACTCTAAAAGTTTCCGTAGAAAAATAGGTTGAATTGTTTAAAAAAAAGCGAATATTTCTAGTCTTTATAGATGATGAGATAGGTTTTTAAGAATTATTATTGCGAAAAGAAAGTATTTTTTTTCCATTGAAACTTTTAAAGTGTTTCAATGATCACGAGAACTACATATGAGCAATATTTCAAATTGAATTACTGTTATTCGATTTTTCTGTATATAGCTTTTGTTAGGTGAAAAATTTAGTAAAATGGTCAAAACTTTCAAAGAAAGCCTCAGGAGCTTAAACTTTCTTACGATTTCTTGTTGTTCAAATTATTTTTAAAGAAATAGTTTCCTTGAAAATCAACTGACTAAAAAGCAACAAAAAAAAGTCCTTGATACTAATGTGCATTCTTATCAATAGTAATAACTATAAATACGAACACCTTTATAGATAAACATATACGGAGTTACTTTTTTTTTTTCTTCTTTATTGATAATTTATATGATAACACAACAAAGAACAACAATAATCGTTAGAATTATTTGTTTTTAATCAAGAAAGTGAGAATGAATGATAAAAGCGACACATCTACTCTTATTACTCAAAATGTTATTTTCTATTGTCTATCTCTTTTTATTTTTATTTTTATTTTATCTTACATTTAAATAGGAGAAAAAAAAGAACGATGTAAAGATTCTAACCTTCCTTCAATCTAACATTCATAATAATAATAATGCTTCGTCGTGCAGCAAGTGGTGCTAAATTTCTTCGTCATGTTGTTCTCTTTAAATTCAAAGATACAGCTAGTCAAGCTGATGTTGCTAAAATTGAACGTGAATTTCGAGCATTAGCTACAACCAAGGTACCACAAGTACAACAATTTGAAAGTGGAACACATGTTGGTAAAGAAAATTTAAATCAAGATTTTACTCATGCTTTTTTATTAACCTTCAATAATGAACAAGATCGAGATACATATATGGCTCATGATGATCATAAAGCTTTTGTCAAACTTCAACAAGGCATTGTTGATAAAAAAATTGTACTTGCTTTTTGGGGTGAATAGATTTTTATATTAGAATATATATTTAAATAAATTTGTAACTTCATTCTTGCTGATTTTATTTTATTTAATTTCTTTCCACACAAAAAAAAATGATATCAAGGATATATATCTTGCATATGAATTTTATATAAAATACTTATCAGTTATATTATATACAGCTCAAAAGATTGTACTCGTATAGATAGTATTTATCTTTAATGAAAAGTATGTATGTATGTATGTTTATAAGAAGCATATCAAAAAATGTGCGACCTCTTTTTCTATCCTGGCTCAATTCTTTGATGACTATTAATAGTAGGAGGCTGCTGCATAGAGAAAGAATTTGTCAATGTGATGAAGTTTAATTCTATTTTGACAACTGTGATGTATGTTTTGAATGAAATCTTATATATTTTTAATAATTTATTGAATGTTTACATAGAATAGATTCATTTGTTAACTTAGATTATGACAACGAACTCTTCTTCACGTATTCCCATCAATAGTAAAAATACAAAGAACGAACACAAACTCAATCTCGTAATTCTCGAATTTTGTTTCTTTTTGTCACATTGTTTCTTTTAAATTAGTTTGAATTACAATCTGATGATGATGATGATTGGACTCGAGCAATTCATCATGATCTCAACATAAAACGACGAACATGTACTACATTTATTCCAAAATCTTCAGCAACTAGTGATGCGTATGTTATCAAAAGTTCAACTGTCTTTTCTTTTAATAAAAATAAAAAATGTTATTTTAGTGGTAGTAGTAAAGATGATATTCAGTGTGGTTGTAATCGTCTTCGTCGTGAACATTCTTGGGATATTATCGATGGAAATGATCGTGAATGGGATCGAAAGAAGCATACAGAATCGGCCTGTAATAATGCATATGGATGTATACCGAATACTCATATACATTATATTCGTTGTGATATTGAAACACACCCACTTGCTCTTACTAGGTTAATGTTTGACGTATGGGGAGTGAAGGAACCAAAATTAATAATGTGTATTACTGGAGGAGGGAAATATTTCAAATTAAGTGAACGACTTGAAAGAGAATTTATGAAAGGTATTATTCAAGCTGCATTGAGAGCAGGTAGAAAAAACAAAGAAATAAAATATGTAAGGATAAAATCTATTTGATTTGTTTTAAAGATGGTTGGATTGTAACAACGGGATTTAAAACGGGTGTTGTACAACTTGTTGGTGAAGCTATTCATGATCATAAAGTAACTAATCCAAAAGATTGTATTATTGCTATTGGTTGTTCGAAATGGGGTGCAGTTAAAAATCGAGCATCATTCATATCAGTAAATGTTTGAAAATTTTTTTGTTTTTTTACATTAATGAATTTTTGTCTCTAGTCAAAAGTATCAACTAGTAACACTAATCAAGGTGCAACGACGCGTTCATCAAAAATTACAAAAGGTCAACAATATCTTGAACCGAATCATTCACATTTTTTTTTACTTGATGATGGAACTTATTATGGATATGATATTGGAGACTATAGAACAAGATTTGTTCTTGAAACTGCAAATTATAAGAAAGGAGGTACTTTTGCAGTAGTTGCAAGAAGTTCAGCTACCGGATAAAAAGTATATGAACTTCAATCTCTTTGTCTGATATTTTGACTACAAACAGAGCTCGGTAAGCCCTGATCGAAAGCAGCGATTCAAGGTCGATAGGGCTTAATACAAAGGATTTACGATGAAAACACTGGTTTTTTTTCCTAGAGTCACCGAAAAACTTTTTTTGATATTTTTCTGGATTTCTACTATTTAAATGCATTAGGCATCATTTTCTTATTAGTAAATTAAGGTTTGCAGATCTATATTGTGTCACAGGTAAGGTACTTCAGTCCGCTGTAATATTGAGACACAGGGAAACCATCATTATCCGGAACGGACTCAGTACGGATCTCTTCTCTATTGATGACTGCGATTGTAAAAGTTTCAAGAAAAACTTAATGAGAGCAAGAAACTCACTGAAGAAAATTTCAAGACAAATAGCTAAAATTAGCCGGAGATGTGGATCACTTTTCGACGGTTCCCATTAACTCTTAGGTGAAAATCACTCAAAGATTACTTCATAAATCAGGCAAACGAAAAAAAACCATTTGATATGGAATTTTTATTAGTGATAGAAGCAGTAGTGATCTATCGAATGATGGATTTAATGTCATTAGATTTATTTTCTATGTTGAGATACCATCGTCTGAAGAAAAAAATCTATGTCGACCTTCTAATTTCTCTCCATAAAGTCCGATCAAATCCCTATTAGTTCCTGTGATCAGAGTTCAATATGTTCGATTTGTAGTCAAACTGTGAAACTAAAAAATTACAGTTTAAGTACTTTTTATCTAGCAGTGAGACTTTTCGCAACTACTATCTGTATTTTCAATTTCTTCATGCTTATTAATATTTTATTTAAGTTCCCAAAGTAACAATAGTCGTGGAAGGTGGTCCAGATACATTATTAACAATTTACAGAGATCTTTCTAATAGTATACCAGTAGTATTAGTTGATGTATGTATTTCTATTTATGTCATAGGTATATATTTTGATTGAATTTTATCTATATAGGGTAGTGGTCGAGTACCCAATCTTCTTGCTAATTTTCTTATTCGTACAGATTCAATGATTCATCGAAATGGAAAAGATAACGATGGTGTTAATTGGAAACACGTAATCGATATCAAAGTACCAGATGATATTGAAATGTAAAATATTTATTTATTATTATGTTTATATATATATATATATATTTGTTGATGATTATTTTTCAAGATTAAAAACAAAATTTCGTCCTTATACAAATGAAATACGTGATGGTTTAAGAGATATATCTAAAGGATCAAAAACATCAGACAAAGAAATGGATGAATTATTGAAATGTTTTCTTTATTGTTTACAACCAGCTGTTCGATCGAAAATTCGAATATTTAGTCTTGATAGTGACGAATCTTTAGATGATACTATTTTCGAAGCTATTTTAGAAGGTAAAATGAATTCTATGCTATTTAATTTATATGATAATTTTTCTTTCTAGCAAAACAACACGAAAGTTCTGAAAAAAATAAAGCAGTTAATCGAGAACAATTATTACAATTGGCACTTGCTTGGAATGCTATTCATGTAGCAAAAGAACATATCATTAAAGATGATTTAAGTGATATTCGTGTAAGTTTACAAGATAATCTAATAAAGATTCTTGAAAAAATTTAATATTTTTTAGCCAGAAATTAAAGAAAAATTATTTTTTGATGCACTTTTATCTGATCGTCCACAATTTGTTAATACATTTATCAAATTAAATTTTGATATAACTCAAATGTTTTATGAAAGACAAACTAATCAACCATGGAAATTAAAACCGGAACAATTAATTAGATTATACGAAGATGACACGATGAATGTAAGATAAAACAAAACAACCGATGATTTATTTTATGTCGAACTATTTTCTTTTTTTTTGTGAAATACGATCTAAAAGGAGTGTTTAAGTATATAGGGTAGAAATTTAGATCCATCTCGTTCCTTCCTTTCCCACAGACCGTAACAAACATTAGTCCGAGACCATCACAAACCGATTAAGTAAAATGATGATGAAGAGATATATCCAAGAATAAATAGAATAAAGTAATCTTCTGTGATCGTGTTTCACATTTTAATTCCAAAGAGATTGTGCTAATAGTTTTTTTCTAGAATCAACGTCTGTATTTACTTAAAAAATGTTTTCACCACAAAAAATTTTCTTCCGCACAAGATCTTGATCTAATATTAAAAAAATTAGTCGGTGATTATTT